AGATATTCAAGCCCCACCTGGACAAGGTCCTGTGCAGCCTGCTCTGGGTGACCCTGCTTGGGCAGGAGGGTTGGACTAGATGACCCACAGAGGTCCCTCACAACCCCTACCATTCTGTGATTCTGTGATTGTACAGGAAGCCAACCTGGAGAAGGTCCACCTTGCTGTCAAGGCCAACCGCTTGCCGAGTGAGCTGGACACCCTGGGTGCCCAGCTGATGGATGACATCATCGCCGACTGCAGGTATTTTCTGCCAGTTCTGACTGAGCCTTTTCATGCCGTTTATGGCAAGAGCTCTTATTTATCTTGGAAGGGACGACTGCTTCTTTTCTCTTTTTTCCTTTCCTCTGAAAAACGCCGGTCGTTCGCTAACGTTTGCTTCCAAGGTTGCCGAGCCAAGGCGCGGGGTTGAAAAGGTGACATTTAAGGCAAGCCAGAAATCTCCAGCCTTCATGCAAGGGCCGTGGTGTGGCTCACCTGAACGCACGGCGTTGTGTCGGGGCAGGAGCCGGAGCCCGGCCAGCGCAGCCGGAGGGACGGTGGGGCTGGTGGAGTGAGGAGCTGGGACTTCTTGGTTGAGTCTTGTAGGAGGTGGTTCTTCGGCTCCGCGTTGGAGTTGTGTGTCCGACAGCTGGACCGGGGGTTGGAGATGTCGCAGGGCTTGGATGGCACAGCCACACGTCCCTGTGGGCAGCACCACCAACATCTGCTCTCGCTTGGTTTTTCTGAGCACTGGGACATGCGTTCAAGGGAGGGTGTCAGGGTGCCGTGGGCTTTCCCTCCGTATGGCCTGGTTTTCTGGGCTGGATTGCGCTTTGTGGGGGCGAGGAGCTGCTCCAGGGAGCATCACTGCAGTCTGACCGTGGCGTTTTATCCCAAGGGCAGCTCAGCACTCGGGAAAGAATTTCAGGGACCAGTCTCACCAGAGTCTTTGGACTGTGGTTCCCCTTCAGGTATACCTATGAAGGTGATGCCTGGGGTGCATTAGGAGGAGTGTGGGCAGCAGGTCAGGGAGGTTCTCCTCCCCCTCTGCTCTGCCCTGGGGAGGCCCCATCTGCAGTCCTGTGTCCAGTGCTGGGCTCCCCCGTTCAAGAAAGATGAGGAGCTACTGGAGAGAGTCCAGTGCAGGGCTAC